TCCACGGACTAGAGTTTGACTGGGCCGAGATGCCTTCTTGCTACAAAATCGCTTCTTGAAATAAAGTTCTGCCTTATACACATCTGAATGTCACCAGGTTTGATTCTTTAGACAATCCATCCTAACACACTCATACTCTAGGAGGCTTTAGATGAGGGGGATTTTGGAAGGTCGTTGAGTTTCAGGAAGATTTCCCCAGGGATATTTTGAGCAGGTAGGGATCCAATGATGCCTTAGAAACCTTGTTCTGTTAGAAACCAGGTAGCATTTATGTTTAGAGAACAAACACGTCTGAGCTACCATTTCAATGGGGCCCATTTTTCTAAATCTCAGCTAATACGTGTATTTAAGAAGAGAGAAAGAAAAAAATCTTAGCATTTATTAAGTAAGGTCAAATATAGTGGGTTGGTGGTTTGTTTGTTTTTTCTCACACAGACTCTCCCTATATCTATTTCTTGGGCAATTTCCACTTTGAGAAAGAATCACTAATAATAGCTCCTTTTAGCCTGGCACTCAGCTGAGTGCTTTAAGTGTGCTGTTACATTTAATCCTTCCAACCACCTTTGAGACTGCTATTTTCATCTCACTTTAAAGATGAGCAAAGCAAGGCTTAAGAAGTGAGAAAATGTTGCCCGAAGTAGAAAGGCAGAGGGTCCCCGGCCTGCTCTCTGGTTGCACAGCCTCCTGCACTCAGTCGTTTGTGTGTGTGTCAGTTTCCCGTGGGGCTAGAGAAAATGATGGTTCAAGGGGTGCACAGAGCTCTGGACAGCTTGCAAACCAGGTAATCCTGGATATCTGGGTTCAGCTTTGTGCTAGAGAATTTATCATTGAGATCCACATCATGGCTGGTCTTTACCTGTGGGATCAGTCTGCCATTCAACATCCGGGACATTGTGTGTCCTGAGAACAAGGCAAACTCAGTCCCGTAATGTGAAAAGTAAACGAGCCAATAACAGCATTTCTGTAGATGAGGGTCAAGTAAGTGCTAACAAAATATGCATTTTTTTAACTTTTAAAAATAAGGAAATATTTCAGAATTAGACCAACTCACACTTGGCCACATAACTGAACAGAACTTCCTCAGTAGAGCACAAGTTCAAGATTTTATGTTACTGAAAGCCTTGACTCCCTTGCCTGTCCTCACGACTGCCTTATTTGGCCCAGAAGAGAAGACACTTTTGAGAGTTCTTGGAGCGTTTCATCCTGTTTTTCTTGGTCTGCTGTGAGGGCACCAATGACCTAACCAAACTGGAAAGGTGGCATCGGAAAGAGTATGAACAATCCGTGGTAACTTCCCTCGGGGGAAAAATGTTTTAAAGTGAAAGAAAATCATTTTTATGACAATAAGCATTAAAGAAAACCCTGAAGCTGTTAAGTCCCATGGGATGTAAGGGCTTAAAGTGTGAAAACAACAATCACTGAAGTCACAGATGCTTCCTAAGTCACAATGCTGCTGATGGTCGCTGGGAGGATGCCCCCCACATGAAGGTCTCGCCCAGTATGCAATCAAGATCCCCTCCTACTGGGACCTTCTGAGAGAGAGAGAGAGAGAGAGAGAGAGAAACCTGACCCTTTTCAAAAACTCAAATCAACAAAAAACAAATGAGTTCAGGTATTTGTTCTTGGACTGCTTTCTGTCCCCAGCTCGTTCCTGTTTCACCATCTTACTTGTATTTCTGAATAAATAATCTCAAAGGAACCCGCAGGGGTCGGGCGCCATGGGGGAGGAATGATGGTCAGATTTTAAATGGTTGGCTTTAAATGATTTAAACCTCAACACTGTCCAAAATGTCTGGGCCTATAATTCTACCTGACTAGATACCATGGAGGTAGAGAATCAGAGAGTCGGGGAAGGAAGCAAAAAGATCATCAGAGGAACTGGAAATCCCTAGTCATGCACACAGCAACTGCCCTTACGGGCACCACTAGAATTTACAAGTCATGGTTTGTGCTCTGATTCAGCATTCTGGTTGCCTAGATACAGAAGTAAACAGAAATGCCTCCGTGACAGCCGAGGAGCAGCCGGATAAACAGCCAGAAGAACCCGATGGCCCCCTTCCTGGCTCCGCCAGTGACGAAGGAGAGAAAGCAAGTACTTTCCAATACTTTGCTCAGAAAGCACGCGTTTGCTCTGCTAGCTTTGCTTAAAGAGTTTGAAAGCTGAAAGAGTGACTTGGTTTCATTCTTCCCACATGTCCTGTGTGTTGTGACTTGGTGACTGTGGCTGCTGCTGGCGTCAGCTGGACAGGACAAGGGTCTCCAGGTGTAGCACACCTTCCTTGGACTGCCTTTTAAGATGTGGCCAGAGATGATGAGCGAAGGCTTGGCAACGCTATGTTGTTGTTGCTTGCTGGGGATTCGAAAGGCGTCCCAGCAGACTCAAGGGCAGACTTAGTCTCATATGGAAAGGGGAACACGGAATAGAAACCTGTCATTTATGAGGGCTTACCCTACCTTCTCCAGCAATTAAAAAGAACAATGAGAGCAAGCACAGCCCTCCGGCTTTGTTTCGTGAGCTTGATCGAGCCTTACCATATTACTATGGAAGGAGCCACAGAAAGCGAATTTAGCATCAAGGTCTGATCTTTAGTGTCTTGGCTGTGCAGTTTTGGACACTGACTTACCCTCTCTGTTCCTTTTCTCTAAAATGGAGCTAATTAGGCCTATCATACACAGTTGACCTGAGGTTGAAATGAGTCGCTGAGGTAACGTAAAGCATTTAGCGGGTAGAAAAATGGCAATCAATAATGATTATTGTCACTATTATCTACACAATCGTGAGCAACTTTGTTTTTTGTCTCCGTTCCTCAAATCTCTCACCTTAAATTGAGTATATTACATTATTTCTGTAATAAGGAAAGATTTCTAGGTAAAGTAACTAACGCCATCCTCAAAGTAAACAGAGTGTTTTGGGAAGAATGAAATCACATCATGTGCAGGAAGGTGTTTTATTGTCCTTAAAGCCGTGACTGACATTTAGAAGTGTTATTATAGACCAGGTGGAAACTAGGGCAGGTAAAAACGTCCTGAAATAACAGATGGGTCCTTCAATACCATCAAGTTGCCTGTGGGGCAATTTTGTTAGTGAAACAGTTAAAAAAAAATTAAAAGGTGAATAACTCAAAACTGGTTCCTATATTCGATTATCAAAGATGTAAAATTTTAAATACAGTGCATCAAAAGTACACGAAAATACAAAGAAAAAAGAGGAAATATATTACAACCTTTAGGTTGTAAGACTTTTTAGCGAGATTTTGTTTTTGCCTTTTCTATTTCTTTTACTTTTTCTAAATTTTCCTTCAGCATCAAGCTTCACATTTGTCACTTTTAAGAGTGTGTTGCGGGTGTGCTTTTAGGAGAACAGTCCTTATGGTCTTCCAATCAAACATAAACATTTTAAATAAAAGCCAAGCAGATCTATATCTAATTGTTATAGTTCAGAAGGAGAAATGGAGAGAGAAATCCCATCATACTGTGATTGAGACCCACCACTCATCATATTCCACAAATGCATGTGGCTGGAGGGGGGGGTGCTGCCAGTTGCCATCGAGGCAGGGACCTCCCAGTCACTAAGTAATATCAAGATCGGATTTCCCCAAGCCAGGAGGGATGAATGGTGGACAGATGGGGAGGGATGAGCTGGCATGAAGCAGGTGGGAAGCTCGGGGCTCAGAACTGTCCCAGCACGAACCTGCAGCGAAACCAGGAACCAGTGCAGAAGGCCAATCAAATCCTTGGAAATACAGTTAGTTTCCACAATGAAGGCTCAGTGGATCAACTTATCAATCTTGCTAAGATAAGATTAAGGACCCATGATAGCACAGTTAAGCATTCAGCTGCTAACCGCAAGGCTGGTGATTCAAACCTATGAGCTGCACCGTGGGAGAAAGATGAGGCTGTCTAATCCTGCATCGATGTTCAGTTTCTTTTTTGATGTTCAGTTTCAAAAACCCTACGGAGCACTTTTATTCTGTACTACAGGGTCAATAGGGGTTGCAGTCAACACTGTAAACTCAGAGCAAAAGAGGAGATTGGGCTTAAAATTCACTCAGCAATGGAAAAAGAGGGCCTGCAGCACTCAGAGCGGCCGCTGGCTCCATCCTGGGCACCAGGCTAGCCTCTTCAGGTTGCCAGTCACCAAGGAGACCGTGTTTGGGAGCCTGACAATGGCTAGGTCTTGTTTATCAGCAGCCTTGATAACAGACTCACCGTTTTCCAAGCTTGATTGGTAGAAGAAAACTTGGTTTCTTAGGTCTTAAAATAAGAAGTGACAGTTCCTTGGGCATTAGCAAAAGGAATGATTTCTGCCCATGGATATTTACTGACTCTGTCTACCATTCTAGTATACAATAACCCAAGCCAAGTACAAATTAACCTATGAGCATATTTGTTCACAATGTTAGCGGGTAGAATATCATTTATACTCTCCCGTCTGAACCTAGTACAATGTCAGGCTATTAAAATTAGGATATGACTGTATTCTGGTTTTATACTAAAAATATTAAAAAGGAAGTTTAATGCATTTTCAGCATATGCAAAAAAAGGTGAATATATTAAAGGGGTTTGACTTATAGTAATCTCTCATCCAGGTTTCTATCCAGTTTGGGCCTTTATTTTGGAAATTAGCTGACTCTCCTCCTTAGGAATCAGAATGTCAGGAATAATTTACTCTTCCAGTACTACTTTAGTGGTTCAGTCAATAATCATTGGACATTTCATTAAAAGTTATCAAGGAATAATCTATGAATTTGACTTTTCCACAAAGGATACCATATCCATGAAGTGCAACTCTCCAGGGTTGTCGGAGAACTTAATTTCATTTTCATCAATAACATAAATGGGGCATCCTCAAGATTAATTGGACTGGTGGTTGTATGAGGTGCAGTGGATATGTTGTTTAAAATTAGAAACATGTATATAAGGAAAGAATACATAAGATTTCCTTGTAAAGCAGCAGACAATATATTTTAAATCCATGACCTTTGTTTTAGGTAAGATTATCTCCAGACAGAATGTCAACCAGGAATTCTACAGATCTAGTTGAATATATTGACAAGTAAGTCTACATTACAAGTCTTAATTAAAATGTATTGTCTGTAATGACTCAGCAATAGATTAAAATACATGAATGAGAACTGTAACCTCAGAAATTATTTGTCTTCAGAAGGGACATTCTTTAAGCAATCTTAAAAATATGAACCTCTCTTTCCTATTCTTTTCTGGTTGCCAGGCCACGCTGACTTCCCTGTCTCCTGAAATAAATCCCCTACATTTCTGCTGATTTTTTTTATTAAACGACCATTTTATTGGGGGCTCTTTTTTTTTTTTTATAACATATCATTTCATCTTTATTGAGACACAGAGACTATTAATAGGACCATGTTAACAATGAGCAAACCGAAACTTAAAGAAGCTACGTGACTTGCTTTTGTCACAGGACGGGAAACTCATGTTGCTAGGATCGATCACCATCCAGAGCCCAGCTCTGACTTGTCTGAAGACCCCTCATGCAACCACAGCCTCTGGGGAACTGGAATGGAGCACACTGAGGGCTAACCCCCCTCTTCTGCCTGACTTCT